GTGATGCCTGAGAAACGGGGTGCGTCGTCTCTCGTGTTTGCAGACAACCTGGGGCACGGTTGATGACCCGGGTGACCCAGATTATGCATATTGCGCTTGATAGACTCTGATTGGTCCACTTTGTGGCAACTACTCATAAATCTTTCAAAGTGCTCAGTTTTGCGCCTTGGGGACAGTGCTCCATCAATGCATTACTTTTTAGGTGTCAGCGAAGTACCACGCCTATCCGAGCAAACCGACCTAGGTGTCACGTTAAAATCGAGTAACAAATCCGGCGCAAACTCGGCAAAGGCTGCTTACAAAGGATCCAGAATGCTGTGGATGATCCGCAGACCATTTGGAATCGTAGCTGGTGGGATGTTTGTTCAACTTTACACGGCCTTCATCAGACCCCACTTAGAGTACTGTGTCCAAGCCTTCCCCTTTGCTTAGTGCGGGACAAGATGGCAGTGGAACGGATTTTGAGGATTGACACCAAGATAGTACGTGGGCTAAGACGTGTGCCATATCTTGAGAGAGTGCTTTGTCTTGGTCTTTTTTCTCCGCACTATCGGCGTCACTGGGGCGATCTAATCCTTACCTATCGCGTTTTATCGGATCAGATTGGTCCGGACTTATCTCACCTTTTCTTTCCGGCTCAATTGCCGACTCTTCGTGGGCATCGAAAGAAATTTCACAAGCCTCGATTTGACCGGGTGGAGGCTGATGACTCTTGTAATGTCCTGCCTGAAGATGTCGTGTTGGCACCGACGGTTAAGACGTTTGAATACAGACTTGACCTCCTCGGTTTGCAGCTACAACTCTTCCCCTTCACACGTTAACCTGTATTACAAAAAATGCACGTAAATAAACAAGTTCATGCTCACTGTAGATACCTGTAAACTAGTGCACCTTTTACCAGGTTGATTTTCAGGAACAAGGGATAATGCTCAGTCCATTTTAGACAACGCAGTATGCAAGTGGAAATGCAAAGTTTGAGGAAATTCCCGTACACAGATTCATTCAATTAATCCTACATAACCAAACGTATTCCCTGCGAAACGCCATCGGAAAACCTTGTGCGCAGACCGACCACAAAAGGACTGAAGCGGACATTCTGACTTTTCTTCGGATCGAGCCACAACGCCAGAACATCAGCATGCGCTTCATACTACCAAGACACAATATGCACTCGTTGTCTGGCGGAAAAGAGTAATTATGTCCATATTCAAAGCTACGAACGGCGAACCATCAACTGATGTTCTGATTACCGCCGGGTTCTGAAGTCAGTACTCGTCCTTGGCACCATGTCTGTGCAAAGACGGAAAATCATCCTACCTTTCAAGTACAGTTCTGCAATTATGTGCAAATGCATGGTACCTTTCTTACCATCGGTAGTGCGTTTTGCGTAGGAACCTTGCCTGAATTATACTTCACCTGAAGCACAGAACCCCTAGCCGACGCATCTACCACCACGCATTGCAGTCACTATGTTTAACTCCGTTTGGACCCCATTGCACATCAAAATCTACTAACGGTACATAGTCTTGTAACGGAACATCCATCAGTGATTCAAGCCTCCCTCTAATAATATGCATTCCCAGCAAGTGATTTACCTGGTACTGACAGAGAACTTTAAATTTCTCGTTGTATCTGCCCCACAATCCTACGAACGGGATGATACACATTCGCTCTTGAGCTCCCGCTAATGTGTTTCATGCGCTTCCAGTCCATTTATAACAAAGATACAATCTCAGTAAGCACAAAGATCTCAGAGTACCGTAATACGGTGAAATGACTGTCACTGACTGATTCGCTTAAAATACTTTAACATTTATTTGACCGAAAAGTTACGGAACACACAGATTCTTTTATTATTGATATGCCATATTGACATAATTAGAAAATGTCCGATATAATCACTTTTCTGAGTACCCGAAATTGATCCGCTTTCAGTCACTCAAGTAACCGATGGTGCCAGTTGAGCAGGGCCTTTTGGTAGAACTGTAGGTGTTGGTTTGCTATTTCGAAGTACCCCACCAAATCGAACGCCATTTTTAACAAGCGGTGCTTCGTCTGAAGAGAGTTTGTCGTGATGAAGACGTCACCCATGTCGGTATCACGATGTTCCTCTGTGCAGAGTACCTTGAAGTTGCAATACTTGGTAAGAACTTTGACCTTCTAGACAATTTGGTCTGGATCATACCCATTTTCTTACTTGTACTTGTATGGGGTACGATGCACGGAAACCTCGTTTTTGGCCTGATCATTTACATGGATGATGTCGTTGAAACTAGTGATTCAAACAACATTTTCGAAGACTGTTGGGCTATTTGGTTCACCGGGATTTTTCGTTTGTAGTAATTATGCTTTTCAATAAATCTGGAAAGTTACAAAATAGCCGTACCAGTGAATCTACTGCTTCCTTGCACTCTGAGCATTGGGATCCGCTTCGAAGTGTCCTAGTTTGAGAAACATTTCCATGGAGATCCTTTTACGGTTGAATAAATTTTAATATAACAATGATCAGAGCCAGACCAGTGAGGAAATTCGAGGATTCGAGTCTTGTTCCCTACATGACTGGGGATGAGAACTGAAAGTATCTATACCATTTCCCGGCCAAGTTGTCATTTTGGGCAACAGAAATAATCTGAGGGGGCATTCAACATGAGTCTACTCAATTAATTTTTTCCGTGCGTACGCCAGTCACTTGTGCAGGTGTGTAGGTGTGCGTGTATAGCCCGTCGCCTTCAGCCAATTGGACCTCAGACGCACTAAGTCATAGGGGTGCAGGTGAGACGCTTCAGTTTCTACGCACGGAACAAATTAATTGGGTGGACTCACGTTGAATGCCCCCTCAGATTATTTCTATTGCCCATAAGGACAACTTGGCCGGAAAATGGTGTAGAGATGTATAAGCAGTACGCCGGTACGCAATACTGACGCTTCGCTGCCCCGCAACCACCAACATTCGCACGTGGGCTAAGAATACTGTGATGGTCGCCCGGTCCCTACGCAGATTCGAACCGGCGCCCTCAGATTACAACGCAGGCTTGTGATCTTTTAGGCCACGGGTCGGCAAGTGCAATGAACATGGAAGGTGTAGGGGCAACGCTAAACATTCGTGTGGAGTAATGCCACGTGGTGACCTCTGGATCAATACAACCTGCAGTCGTACATCATCCAATCTGCTACATTCGCTGTCAATGTCAGCTTTGTTTCCGTTCTCTTGCTTGAAACTGTTAACACTGAACTCCAATTAATTTCGCTCCCATTTTATGTTGAATTTTACTTACATTCCATGAGCGTTCTACTTCTTTTTTTCTTGCTAATTATTGGTATCTGTTGGTGTGTCATCATCATTACCATCAAAATCGGCACTTCATTAGCTGTTCGAACCGTTGCTTCGTCGCGGTTTATCAACAGTGATTCAAGGAATGAACAACCATATTTCGCAGAGAAATGCGGCATTTTTTAGTAGAGCGGCCTATTGTAAAACCTAAACGTCCTAAGTACACAGTCAGGATCATGACACGTACACTTATTAACTACACCGTCACAAACAGCTGGTTATCATTTGGAGATGAAACGACATCGGTGAGGCTGCTTTCTTAAAACTTTCACAGCTCCATATAATATTTAGCCATTACCTTGCGAATAACAGCACCGGACTCTATTTAAACAGGCATTCCCACTGGAAGACGACAACAAACACCCCACTGATGCTGACTGTGAACCGTATGCCGTAATCACGAGCCAAATCCAAGGTGAGTCACCTGGACTCCCGCCTGAACGGCTGACATCATCCACCTTGGTCATTAGTCACTGGTTCATGCGACCAAGTAATATATATCCATTTCGAACTGTACGCCACAATACAGCTGGCAAGCAAAGGAGCGCTCTTTTTCGTAAGCGGTGACCAGTCGTACATAGTACGTGACCAACCTAAATGCAACTTACTCTAGTTGTTCTAAGGAACCAGCCTGCTTCTCACTGTCTAACGTCCAGCTGCGCACATCATCGTTGTGGACACATTGGTCCTATCCGATACCAGCAATACTTCAGTTGTACATTTGTTCGCCGAGCTTGGCATTTTGGTTGCAGGCGTTTCGTCCCTGGATCTGTCTGTTACCACTTTGGCGACCAAGCTGCAAACAACTCTGCTCTGATGATGTCGCCACGATTGATGAGGGAACGTCTGCAACTGACTTGCCAAGCTCGGCGAACAAATGAACAACTGGATCGTCCACTCGAGCTACCGGGATTCCGAAACATTTTAAACCAGCAACACTTCAAAAACGATGTTGATCAAAGATCAGAAGGCGTCTCAGACCTTCCGACCAAAGGGACCAAGTTTCACTGCTATAGATTAAGGCGACTGTTACTTTGGCCTTGCACACAAGGCCTTTCATACGGAGCTATACCGCCTTCTGCCGTCACAGATTTTACAGATTCACAACTGTGGTCCTAGCTTTCGCAATACGCGAATTTACTTCAGCGGCCACACGACCATCGCTGCTGATGCAGCTGCTACGGTATGTAAACTGATCAACCACTTCTACTTCTTTGCTATCAAGGTCAAATTGTCATAAAGTGGCTGCTGGTCCTGCAACAGCACTTGGCATTCCAAAAGTGCGAATAAATGCAACGATCTGCCGCGCTTCTATGCCCAGAGCCTAGGTGTTTGAGTGAACTGAACCACTTCGAAACCGCTGAGTCCGATGTTGAATGGCAACCTGTTTTGTGTGAGGTTTATTATGCTCTTTATTCTGCTTTAGCGTTACTATCAGAAGACAACATTTGTTCATTGTACTTCTTTCTAATGTACTAGTGGCTTAACTTTTTCGCCTATCTAGCCGACACGTACGTTCTGTCGATGCCCCACATATTGTCAGCAATTCTGTCTCTAAATTTTGACCTCTATGCCTCCACCAAAACTATTGGTTGCCTAGCTACTTATTTTGGCTTGCGATTTCAACTGAGTTTACCCGTTACAAAATACGAATTCGTTTCCTTTTTCAGCTTCCTTTTTCAAGAATCTCGGGTGTTATAGTAGCCCAGCGTGGGCGACGGGATGTGGGCTAGCTTTCTTCAGTTAGTACCATGCATGACCTTTGACGTTGGATGTGATTCTCATTATGAATACCGTACCATTGCGGAAAGAGGTATTCTGTATACTTTTTTCTTACTGTTTCGCAAAGTTTTCTGATCTATTGGTGCAACTAAACGCACTCTCAGCGTCTGAGAAACAGATTTTGTTGACATTTCTTACCTGTTCTGCTCCGTTGCCGAGCGACTCCTCATCCATTCACGCATCCGCTGATGATGCACCAAGCAGTGGTTCTGCTCCCACCGCTCCCTCTGAGGTTGTGGGTGATTCAGTGTCAGTCATCAATTTAACATCGCCTGATCACTATTGGAATGTTGCTTTCCTTCAAGGAGGTACTTACTCATCCGCCTTATCCCCATTTTTCCAGAAACATTTAATTTAAACTATTTTGAAGAAAGTCAAGAAAAGTCGACTGCGCTAACGAACGATGATGAGCCTACTTATCTTTCCCCTCCCGCTCCATCTTCACTATCAGTGAGTTGTTTGTGTTGATGTACCATTTTATTGTTTATTCTTAATCAGTTCTATTTAGTTTTTCGATTGTGATTCGTATGCCGAAATGCAGTAGATTTAGTTACCATGACTCACCCTGACCTGAAACAGAAATGCGGTGAGCAAGGGATTAATCTACACACCTGACAAAAAAGAGCTAAACACTTGCATCCATTCTCTCCCTGTTGAGTCCAAACAAGAACGAAACCGCCGCTCGTAGGGTTCAGTGATGGAAAAAAGCAACACCAAATCTCTATTTTTGTTGGATACGGTCCCAGTGACCGGAATGGCGCAGGTTGACTTCATAGTCAACCATGGCCACTAACTAGATTACGTGTCGCAATCCAAGACACTCGGCGGGTACTCTAAAACCCGACGATCAACTTCTAGCTGCTGTATCAAGCTCTGCTCGTGGAGCTCAATGGCTTAGGGATCATGGCGATAACAGCCAGCCACTGTGCCGGATTCCCCTCCCAACTCAGGCTATCTTTGCCTGATGATTCCAAACCTGGACGAACCCGTCGGTCGTGGAGTGCAGGGATGGGAGAGCGCAACTCCGAAAGAAACCCTCATTGAGCGTGCATTTTAAGCACGACATGCGTGAAACCTAATCCAAGGGCACTACTGACTCCGGTCGATGACGGATTGACTAAAGGGTTCGGCTGATAACATACACCTCTGCGTTGCGCTCCGGAGGTCATCGGTTCGAATCCGCGTAGGTGCGGGCTTCCTTGCGGTCCATCCATCCCTCGCGCGACCGTGTGTGGTCGCTTGACAGCGAAGCGTTTGTACACTGTACCGACGTGTTGCCGATGTTTTCCTTTATTTCTCATCCACTGCTTACCAATTCGAACTTACGGAATTGTGTTTGACCTCGCAGTGCAACAGCGCGCTCACATTTGATAATTGCATGGTAGCGGAGCATTGCTGATACTTTTACTAACTAGACGTATTGCTTACTTCCAATGCAGTCCGAGGTGGGCTGTCGACGGACATACGATTTAGGTTCGCTGCTCAGCGTACATAGCTCGAATTCACTGCACGATTCAGTACGACACCGGATGATTTGTTTCTGAATACTAACTGACATCTCAGCGTTGCCACTTTCAGCGGTCCCCGTCGGATAAAGGGGTAATCCTTCTGAGGCGTTTTGTGCGATCACCTGCTCATGTCACATGTGTCCTACCAATACAGGTAGTAGCTGCTTCGCTAGTTTGTTCGCTTTGGAACATATAACTGTTTGGTCATGTGAATCGGCCACCTGTTGCCAGCGATTGTTCGGTAGGTATGCGAATTGGTAACACCTTTGTTCGTTCATATAACAATACATCGCACTGTGGAGTTGAAAATCCCGCGCCAATGCGCACTTCACTCTATCAGCTTACTTAACTGAGTTCACATGTCAGCCGGGTCTGCCCTAGTAAGAGCTATTGCTTCCGTGTATTCTGAGTTTACTAGTCGCTCGACTGGCCGAAACAACATGGAATAAAAAGCGGGTCGTTCGTAGTCTGAGGAAGAGAGATGTGGCCATTCTGGCGCAATTCACATTTGATGCACTCAAAGCTAGACTTCCATTAGGCTCCCACATGGCCCTTTGATTGTAATTCTAACGATTCCCACCTAACAAGGAACTTCCGTAGTACATTTGCAGGCAAGCGTTGTCAACAGAATCAAAGTTCAAGTATATCTACACGAACAAGCCCAATTTTTTGTGTTGGGCTTTACACCTACCTCGCCCTTGACCTTTCTCGCTTCCATCTGGAGTTCTGTGCATGGTAGTACTCCGTTTCGACTCAGTGTCAATCGCAACAAGACTGAATGTTTATGTGATTCATGAAATGCGCAAGTGCATCCAGAGACGCTCATATTGAACAGATTAGCGACCAGCGCCGAGCTCCCTGTCGTCATGGAAGGTGGCGGAGAGGTCAGTGGCCCACTTCCCTCTACAACCTAATCGTAGCAAGCAGTTCAGTTCAGTAGAACAACCATGCTCCGAGCACCGAACTGCGATTGATCCAGTCGCCACGACTCACGCCGCCAGAATAACATTAAATAACAACGGCAAAAATGAAGTTAAATGCACACAGGATACAAAAATTGGAATCAAAGTAGAAATGCGTTAAAGTAATCGAGATAGCGTAGGGATGGACGTCCTCGCGGTGTACTCAGCCCGCGCGCGACTGGTAGTGGTCGCACGGTAGCGAAGCGCCGTTACGGCGTACAGCTGACGCGTTTCGTCGTTAATCGAGGTAGCATGAAAATTAACAGCTAAATGTAAGGAGTCCAATGTAGGTATGCCACTGACTACGCGACTGCTCCATGTCTGATAGAGTTTCCAACCACTGAGATGCGGACTACTCCGGGGCCCCATCCATGAAGACAGCCCGCAACTGACCTGCCTGATCTGTTAATCAACTTCATGTCTGCATCATGTCGTGGACTGGCCATTTCTCCGTTTCATCTAACTTGGTGCCGTGGCGGTGTATAATGCATGCCGAGAAGGTCGGTCGAGGGGCATACGAATATACGACCTAGTTAACATAAGAAATTAGGTCTTGGTAAAATCCAACTGGCGGACCTCAGCATTGCTCACCCGGTGTTCCTACCAGATTTGGGAAATACCCTGTGAGTATTGATGATCAATTACGGCCAAGCATTTAATGTCTTCACTGCGAACTGACCAGATCTCTGATCCATACAATTACGGTTATTTTATTAACGTAATAGGAAGACATAGGTTGCGATTCCTCTCGTCAGTCGCTACGCAATACAGACAGGACAAAATACGCATTAATTCGTATTTTGTTCAAAGAAGGCTCTCCGCTGTCGTTGTGAGGTCATTGGATCGATTGCTGTCGTTGCGCTGCAAGATCACGATGGAGCGCATACGGGTTACATTTTTATCATAAATGTATCCAGTCAGGTCGATTTCCATCTCGATTTGTTAAAACCCTGTCGAAAAATAAGCTAGCTGATAACAGTGTAAATCTAGCCAGGATTGCGTCCACACATTGATGCTTGCCTTGAACGAGAACATATGTTCCTAGAGACACAAAAATGATTCGCGGTTGTTTTGAATGATTTGCCGTTTCAAATTTGAGGCATTTTCTGCCGAAACTCTCCAGCGTACTAGGACCATGACACTGTGCAGCCTTCATGGTACCCTTGTGAGAGCAGCCAGCATTCCTTTTCCTACCGTGGGCCAAAAGCATGTGTACAATCTGTCAACAACTCGGTTCACGCGCGAACAGTTGGAAGTTCTTTCGCTGGGACTGAAATATCGAATACCGTCGATGAAGGTGGAGTGGCTCCACACACAGATTAATTTTGATTACCTGTACGATCAACTCAGTGACGTTTCGCCGTAATCAACGGATGATGCAGGATGGTTTCGGGCAAAATTATTGGATATCTCGAACTAGTTCCTGAATGCGCCTATTAGTCAGGGATGTTGCTTGAAGTCGGAACTCTATGTGACAATCAAGGAGCTGCAGAAAATGAAGGGCGTAATTTTCCTGCAGCCAGATAAATGCCCGGGTGTGGTAATAATGGACAAAGCTGATTACATCGCAAAAATGGAGTCGATTCTCGGAGATGGACGCAACTTTTGTATTGACAAGACGCTGGACAACGATATCTTGGTGGAGAAACAAATTGCAAGGCAACTGCAAATTCTTTTGCTTCATGGTTATATCGAGTCACAATATCGGCAGCTAAAACCGACAGGGACGGAATCATCAAGGATGAGGGATGCGCCGAAGCTGCACAAGGCGGGAATTCCACTACGCCCAATAATGTGCATGAATAACGCCTTACCACAAAGTAGCCCGGTGGTAGGCGAAACTCTTAGAACCCGTGCGTAAGCTCCTGAGCACGTACTGTTTGAAAGACTCCTTTGAATTGCGAATATACTGGGACACACAACGCTCGACGCGGAGCTCTTGTATTCCATAGACGTGGAATCGCTTTTCACGAATGTGCCCCCACGTGAAACGGTTGACGATCAATGGCAATTTCTTTTGTATCCGAACCTCTCTGTGGGTCTTCCTCTGGAGTACCTGAGAGACTCCATATTATTGTGCACTGAGAATGTGCTATTCGTGTTTGAAGGGAAGGCTTACAAACAGATCGGCGGTGTCTCTATGTGTAGTCCTTTGGGACCAGTTCTGGCAGATATCTTCTTGGATATGATTGAAAAGAAAGTTGCTGACTGCATAGATGAAGCAAATCTTTACAAGCGCTATGTAGACGTTATTCTCCTCTTCACAAATGGTGAACATTTTGACCGTCTTTCCGCCCTCCTGAACTCAATTCACCCTAACCTTTCTGTATCACAGGAGAGGGAACAAGAGGACAGACTGTCGTTTCCGGACATGCTCATCAAGAGAAGCACCGATGGCACACTGCAACGCACAGTGTACAGAAAAGCGACCTGGGGGAACAATACGTACATTTTTCCAGCTTCGCCCCAGTTGCATACATGCGCTGCCTCATGAAAGCTCTTCTACAGGGCCAGGCACATTTGCAGTCCGGAATAACGCGTATTTTGTTCTGTCTGTATTGCGTAGCGACTGACGAGAGCAATCGACATGTTAACATATCGCAACCTATGTCTTATTACTGCGTTAATAAAGTGGTTAAAGGGGACTCGGTGTTTCAAATTACTGGTACATCCTACCTTTCGTTGACAGGTTGCTATCCCGCCGTCTACTACACCATTTTACCCACATGTTAGCGCATTGTACCAAGCTTTTAGCTAGGCACATTTTCGAAATCGCGTACAGTGCTTTCAAGTTAGCGCGGTTTCCTCCAGATAGGCATCAAAATAGAACAGAAGGTGGTGCTCGACCACTTTCATTGGACTGTCTGCCGCTTATGCTGTGGGCTTCCAACCGGTGTCCCATTGGTTAACGTCCCATGACCAATGAGAGTGTCAACGAAGCCAAAACAGCGTTCTTAGCCTCGCTAACTTGGAAGCACTGTACGCGATTTCGAAAATGTGCCACACTAGAAGCTTGGTACAATGCGCTAACATGCGTGTAAAATGGTATAGATGCTTGTGCCACTGAAGTACCACATGGGCTTTACTGCTTCGCGAGTTCACTTACTCAGTGATGTGACGACTACCACAGGTGACACAGTTACTAACCTAAGTGAACCGACCCACCACTTCTATTAACTGTTTGTTGATATCTAACACCAGTGGCGCATCGAACCGATCCTGTGACAATATCTTACGATTTGAATGGGCAATGCACCTACTGAAGCATGCAACGTCAGCTTATTCAGTAGTGTTTGTATAGCCGCTGCGCCAGACCCGAGGAGAGCTGTGTTGTCCGCACACTCAATATCTGTTAGTCGGTCACGGGGCAGGACCTCGGTGCCGGATCATTTCCGTCTCAAAGTTGAAGAGGAACGGAGATGTAAGACAACTTATCATAGGCGAAATCAGGAAACAGCTTCTGCTAGGTCCTTACCCGGCCTTTGGTGTCACGGTAGATAAACTTCAAAATAGAATGGAATTTTCCAGATAATCCCTTCATGCGGTGCTCCAAGCAGGCTCAATCAACAGAGTCGAAGGTGGCTTTTAATTCAAGGAGGGCCACAGTAATCGATCGTCTGTGAGCATATCTCTGTCCTAACACTTGATGAAGAATATGCATATAGTCAATGCAGCCGTGACCAGGGCGAAAGTCAGTTTGACTTTCAGTGGTATGGCTCTGACGAGGACCGTTTAGTCGTGAAAGAATAATACCCTTGCGAAGTTTGAAGGTAGTCGGAATAAGCCTGTTGCCTCGGCAGTTTTCGCACGAAGTCCGTTGACTTTTTGAAGAATGGCTCGACATTTGATAGTTGCCAGTCTGAAGGCACCACTTCATTGTTCCAGATCGTTTTGGTTATCATCAAAAGTCCAGTCACCTTCATTTACTAGTAAATTTGGACGAAGGTCACCGTATCCACGAGGCTTGTCTCAATTCAACACGGCAAGCTCATGTCGAATTTCTTCTGAGGTGGGAGGTATGACATCGACTTCTTCGTCGGCTCAGGTGAGTCAGCGAAAAACAGTGTCATAACAGCTCTGCTGCACTGCTCTTCAAAATGTTCCACCCATCGGGCTAGTCGACCCGGCTGTGAAATTCGTGGCTAGGTCGCTGAACCATGGGGTTGACATCAGATATATCTGATTAACTCATTTTCCACTGCCATATGACTAAACCTACGTGCATTAATCTTTCAGAGGATATTTCCATTTCACTCCTATCCTCCTTTGTTTACAGGCGCAAGAGGCCCACACTGAGAGTGATCCGTCGGTCGTCATCATCGATGGAGGAGACCCTGTACCAGACGCTGATACGAGTGAGCCCAAGCGCGATCTACGGACCACTCTACACTGTCCTCTATGCCAACTAGAGTTCCCTACGTGGACCGAATGGGAACAGCATCTGTACTCTGGTCATACCTCGCCCATCGCCCCGGTGTGCTGGCGCTGTCAGGGCCTGTTTGACAATCATGCCGTTCTCTTGGCTCACGAGTGTTTCGATTGGTGTCGATCGAATCTACCAGGCCAGACTTTGTTAAGTAACAACGCGCCTTCTACGTACACATCGTTTCACGAAACACCACTGGGATTGCATTCCGCTGGTTCCGGTTCACCTGTCGATAGGATTTACTTGCGAAGGCGGTGTGGCTTATGCTACAAATCATCTGTGGTGTTTACCACATATCACAGCTTTCAAAAGTAAGCTGTTTAGCAACCTCATACACATCTTCAACCGGTTATATTGTGGCTGTATTAGTACTCCATTAAGGTATTTTAAGCTCTTCCTTCTCCAACTAGTACGGCCAGTCGTTTTATGGACCCGTTGGAGCTGCAACACAGAATAAATACCTCGTAGGCGGCAGGATTCTCATATCATAACGCTCCTAGTGGGAGGGTGATCTAAAGATGGCAGCGAGGGGGCACGGAAGAGCGAAGGACAAATCGTGCCCCCCCCCCAAAAAAAAACAACAGGAAGAGGAGGCAGCAACGATAGTGGAAGCATGCCTCATTGACCTCTTACTTCTTAACGTGTTACCGTGACACCCACGGACCAGCTACAGTGACATTGGCGATAGTATATGAAGGGCATCCGCGTTTTTTTTTGAACTGTACGTTCAATGGTTACAAATTATGTTGTCTCAGGAAATTGCCACTTTTACTCCCTTAGCGAATAAAAAACAGAGTGGCTCTCTCCAAACACTACACTTGTTTTGTTTTCGCTGTCAATGCTGCTAACCAATACAGCTTCTGGGAATCTCGACCCACCACTTTCCAAAGTTGAATAAAAGGTCTTGAGAAAACCCTTAATTGGGCCTCTGCAATTAATGAAAAAATACTAGAATTTCCGAGAGATCGAAAACTCGCACATTAGCTAGCTCCTTTCCAACAGCCTATCCATTGGCTGACCCAAAAACAAAAGGGCTGTCATAGACAAGTTAACTTCAAGTTCAGTTAGCTCAAACTTCTGTGGTTACCGGCACGAAGGCAGAGGTGATCATCTCACGAGCGGTCGGTTTCGTCAAATCGCTACGCGAATTCGGGGCGTATTTACAACAACACCATAGAGCTCCATATACAATGATTTCCACATAGATTAAGGAATAGTTGTTGATTTGTTTGGAGCTCCGGTTCCATGAATGGATTCTCAACATTCCATGTCCATTTGATTAGAAAATCTCAGTTACATCTGTAGACAAAGAGAGAAACATCAGCAGTACACCGTACCGACGCTTCGCTGCCATGCAACCACCACCAGTCACGCATGTGCTAAGGATACTGCGAGAGTCGCCCGGCCCTTACACAGCCTCAAACTCGCGACTTTAGGGTTACAAGGCAGACTGGTGATCCTTAAGGCTACGGGCTGACAAGCTCCTTATGATTCTAACTAAAATCGAAGGCGGGCGCAAACTGCAACGGTGTTATAGACCGGTCATTTGTTTGCAGCTAAGTTTCCATTGGCCAAACGGATTGATGCTCACCTCATAGTAAATCGAAATACAACTGCCGTTGATTTGTCGTAATATTTTCGCACTATGACTACCGTAAACAAACGGACAGGCCGGTGGATTAGGCGCCTGTCTTGTAACTCGTAGGTCGCTAGTTCCAGTCCACATAGGTGCAGGCAACCTCACGACGTATCAACTGTCATTGCGATTTTCACCCGTCAGTGTCTGCTCCGACATAACTTTGGCATATTACTTCTGTTTGTTCATCTATCTGTCTCTTTGTTAACCTGTTCATCTCTCTGTTTTCTGGCTGTCTATCTTCTGATCCACCATATTCTTTCTAACTGTGCCCGGTTATCCTTATGTCTCAAATTAGAGGCCACTTGAGTTCAATCCACTGCTTGCTACATGGGTGATGTTTTACCTGTCCCGCTTTGCTCCGCCTCCAAAACAACTGTGGTTTCCATCGGGATGTCTTCCACTCTTACTGCTTCGAATCAAAACTGTATATGCGATGGGAGCTGCGAGTATGGCAGCGCAAGTTACCCATGGCCGCTGTGTGGTAGCGGACTTCCTGCGACTGTTCACCGTGACAGTGACAGGCGAATCCGGGAACAGATGCCGCCAATCACACCCACATATGGTTCGCAGTATCCTATTCCACAGTTTCCTGTCACTGGTGCATACACAGGGACCATGGATGGCTTGCGCTGCACCATCCACGCACTCCATACGCACTGTAAACCGGGAGGTATGTGGATGCGATCCACGTTTCAACTACGCAGGTGGCCTACCCTCCTTCAACATGCACAGCAGCGGTATTCATGACTGTGTACTATGAGAATCATACGTACCAGACGTACCCAAAGTGGTGGTTGGGCCGTAGCTCCTTCCACTCTGTATGAAACCATTCTTTCATCCTAGCATGGTCACGAGGACTGTGCACTCCATCTCTTCATGCAACAACCATCTTCTGGAGGCTGTGTGATAGTGGTACAGGTTCCTTGACAGCTAGGCACCTTGTCAACATTCTGATCAAGCGCAGACACACCGGGGTTGTCAAACAACCAACACAATTTGCAGGGAAATAAACGAGCAAAATTGGCACCGAATATACAGCTGAATAACAGGGCTTAGCAAATCGAATAAAGGGGAATGCTTTTTATCCATGCTAAGACCTAGTCATTATATATATATATATATATATATATATATATATATATATATGTATATATATATATAATGACTAGGTCTTAGCATGGGTAAATGCATTCATATATATATATATATATATATATATATATATATATATATATATATATATATATATATATATATGGTTGCCGGCCTCCGGTTTCGTAGTTGCCCGTCACTGTGGTCAGCCACAGGACGCCTGCGCCTACAGAGGGACCATGGGTGGCTTGCGCTGCATCACCCACAGCTCCACCCACACCCCATATATCCAGTATAAACCCAAAGAAATAAGACCGGGTGGCATGTGGATAGGAGCCACGTTTCATCAATGGAGCCAGACCACACTCCTTCACAAGCAAACGCAAGCACGCTGTATTTGGGGAATCAAGCTCACACAAGGCGGTGGCTTGACCGTAGTCCGCTCCACACTGAGTGCATGGAACCGCTCTTCGAGCCTAGCAAGGACTGTGCATCCCGTCCGCTCCAGCAACGACCAGCTGTTTGCTGGAGCCAGTATGGACGAGGTAGTGGGTAATACACAAATAGGCACCTTGTCAACATGCACATCAAACGCCACCACACCGAGGTTATCAAGCAACAGCCAATCACTTGGGACGATAAGATGAAATAAAATAAATCGAAGAATGCATACAAATACGGTGGCATAACTCTTCGCTAAATTAGCATATGAAGGAAGTTGGTTAGCAAGGAATCAGCGATAAGTAAGAAATGTCCCCAAGTTACTTGAGAATGCTACAAACGCAATAAAGTTAGCGAAGATAAGCACAGTTACCGTAAGCAACGTGAAATTTAATAGAAGATTATTCCGGTAGGCAGAACAAATCAAATGAAGTGGAATGAAATTTATCCAGCTTAAAATGAGACCTAGTTTAAGTGTAAGTTGATTTAGCCCAACTGCGCTGAAGAAGCATCATGTATGCGACATCAACCTTTGCGTGGCACATATATATATATATATATATATATATATATATATATATATCAGCGTGAGCCTGATAAGCGCTCAGCATGGGTACGTGGGATCAACACATAAAAGAAAATGAGTCAGTTGAATGGGTAATACTCATGAGCACAACGATTATTAAATACGCTGAATTCGACTCCATTTACTTACCGAGGTCAATCAATAATATAGTCGGGATGATGCGTGTGTTACACCATCCCTGCAGTTGGTCCGTACATTTGCCTACGCTTATCGTTTGCATTTCAGGTCTTGGAAGCTGATTGTTCCGCATCAAACTAGATCTACTGGATGAGTTGCTTCTTTATTGTTCCATTCCGTTACTACTTTCTTCATGTTCAATATGAATACATACACCTGCCCAGAATAACCATTACAATAGATCAGATTTGAAACATAGGAATGATTTGCTCTCTTCTGAACTTTGAAATTTAGAAGGCGGGTGTTACAAGCTAATCTCATTTCATTCTCTCTAATCACATGCCGACGTGCAATCTAGTAAACCAATCACTGAGTGAAAGGAATCAATAGTTTGTATGCTGACAGGGCGGAGGCAACAAAAAGCTGGCTACAACAGAATCCGAAGTAATATAGAACAAGTATCACGGTCCCCACGGAAGCCTCAGTATGACAGTCAATTGCTTTTATTCACACAGAGGTCAGAACGATTGCTCTGCTCCGTCATTCTGCTACACATTTGCTGTCCATTTTGCGTGTTTACTTTCTTTTATATGCGGTATCGGTTATTGGATATCCTAGATGTCACCGCGCTTGATGTGACAAGGTGCCTACTTGGCTCCAGCAGACAGTGGCTCGTTGCTTAAATGCACGGTCCTCATGACCATGCTAGGATGAGAGTGGTTTCCCACGAAGTGGAACGAGCCACTGCCCAACCCACCGCCTTGTGTACGTTTGCCACGCATGATTCTCAAATTACGTAGCCATGAATACTGCTGCTGTGTAAGTTGAAGGAGTGTAGGTCACCTGCGTTGTTGAAACGTGGCTCGCATCCACATACCTCCTGGTCTTATTCCTTCCGGTTTACTCTGCATATGAAGTGTGCGGATGGTGCCGTGCAAGCCATCCGTGGTCCTTTTGTGGATCTCATGTAGTAGCCAAGTGAACAGCAGCCACCTCTCAGTTCTCTCTCTCTGTCGGTATCCACGTGTGTCCGTTGACGGATTGCTGACCATCGGCAGTCACTACGACTATTCATCGGTTCTTGAACTTAGTCCCGCTGGCGTTTTCGCCGCAATCGTAGGGTCATTTTAGAACCACTTTCACCTTAAATATGGCATGTATAGAAGCCTATTGCATCGCAAACCTACCTCATAATCTGAGGGCGCGGGTTCGAGCATTCTTAGCGACCAGTCGACCTTCGACCTTGGCCAAATGCGACTGTTGGTGGTTGCGCGGCATCGAAGCGTCGGTACTGCGTACCGGCATACTGATGATGCTTTTTTGACTTATGTCTCCATGGCGGGTTTTGATCGATTAATACTCCTCATAACTTCCCTTTACACACGGAAAACCATTTCGTTGAGATACTTTATCTGCATTTGCTTTGCTGCTTCACAATTCAGTCACAAGACCAGCGCGCATTCAACGGATCATGTGAACTCTTGCTCCCCCAATTCTCGGAGAACAGTCTGTTTTTTACCTGAAGTAAGAGTCACCAACTGTCCTAGCGTTTTCTACTTTGTGTTTCTTATTTTTCTCATTTTAATTTCACACTGGACAATTTTGTTCTCTGTGAATTGTCATGTCCATCATTTTGCAGTTCAATACGCTTTATTTGTTCGATTTTCCCACCCCTAGGCTGACGACTCTGTCACAGACGAAACCTCATCCAACCGGTTCCTTCATCCTCAATCCGAGGCGTCTCTACATTCTATGATACGGCATTTACTCCATCACTTTTGATATCTTCAGAATCGCAACCTCAAACCACCAGCTGCATCGGATGGTTCTCAGTGTTGCCCTCCGGAGAAGGTCTCTGCTGTGAGTTGTCAATTTTTTATGCATTTTGCACCAACACATTGTAGTTTTCTAGTCTGCGATCATTTGCGTCTGGCTACGGTTCTCAGATTCGCAACCGAGCATTTTGCCTTCTTCCTTACTTCGTGCCTTAGTGTTTCGCAATCTTCCTCCGAATTGCTACTGTATGACTATTATTTTACTATTGCTGCTATTACTGTTGTCATCATAACAGTACAGTCTCCCAGAATGGTTTCGAGTATTAGACTCGTGGTGTGGAGAAATACTTGTAGACTTATCTAACATCTTGGGACGCGAACGTTTGATATTGCTAAAGGACGAAGCGATCTCTCCTCAACACTTTGAGGCACCGAAAGGGTTCCTACAGTGGCAGTGATTGATTCTCCTCTTCTATGCAAATCGCCGTTGAGTTTTTTCGCAAAACTCATCGACGTATCGGTCTCACTATCATTGCTCCGAACTCGCCCCTAGTGCGAAACAAGCAGTTACGATTGCACCAAGTGTCAGTAGTATAAAAATATCCTCCTCAATACGCATTAGCTGAAGGTGAGAAACACATTTCAGCTATCGTACCGCAGTACCTCAAGATAAGACATACGAAGAAGAAAAATACTAAACCTTAGAGATTGCACAAACAAGGCAGCGCACTACTCAGTAGTATATCATGTTTCAAGACTGCCTTAGCCGTTGGTGGGTGAAGATAAGCGAAATGGGGAGGGACAAAGAAATTCCCGACACAAACGCCATTGAAGGCGATGCTTGCCATATCAACTAAATAAATACATTTTTATTCTCGACTAAGCATGCCTACACAGGCATGCTTGTGGTAAGAGTACAAGTGACCAAGAAAGGTACCGTATTATAATGGGATTGTCACATATTTTGTTACATGAATGTATGTATGTGTGTAAGCGTGTGTAGCGTGTGCAGGTCATGGGAATCGAAGGCGGTTGATCGCGGTGCATGGCGCGATCAAACCACGAAGGTAATTGCCGAAGTGCGGAAGAAAGGCCTCATACATGTAGAGAAGAAGCGGTAAGTGCGGAAGCGGCAAGCACCGATGGGTTGTACTCCATCGACATCGGGCGCATGATGCTGTAGCACATACGGTCGCTAGTGCCTGAATCAGGCGGGCCTACTGAGCCATGAGCGAGGCCACTCGGGACCACTATCGAAGCGATGACGGGTCCTGCAGAGAACGTAGGCAGAACCGGCACAGCGTTTGTAGGCACGCTGCATTCGATTTACTAACCGCGTACTTGCATGCTAAGTCTCTTTATTTCAGTTGGTGGGTTGGCAATTTTGTCCTAATGCTTATATTTCCCATATAAATGTTTACCAGTATTCTCTTCTATAAATTTGCGCACGTCGCTTAAGCCAGTTGTAGTTAATTTCGATAACATTTTCGTGTTTGTGGCATTTCCGTAAAATATATTTTCTGACCTCGTGAACTTATCACGGATTCCTTTGTAAACGACTTATTTCAAATGCTGATTAGTTTAAGATTTGGGTCACCGTTTCCTTATGCATTACTCGATTTATTTTATTTGTTATGTTTCACTCAAGTGATTGGCTGTTGCTTGATATCCCCGGTGTGGCTTCGCTTGATGCGCATGTTGACAAGGTGTCTATTACCCGCTACCTCATCCATACTGGCCAGGAGACAGTTGGTCGTCACTGGAAGGGACGGGGTGCACGGTCCTTGTGGCCGTGTTAGGATCAAAGAGCGGTTCCATGCACTCAGTGTAAAGGGGACTACGGCCCAGCCACCGCCTTGTGTGCGATTGATTCCCAAATACAGCGTGCTTGTGTTTGCCTGTGAAGGAGTGTGTGCCGGCTCCGTTGATGAAACCTGGCTCCTATCCACATGCCTCTCGGTCTTGTTCCTTTGGGTTTATAATGGATATTTGGGGTGTGGTTGGAGCTGTGGGTGGTGCAGCGCAAGTCACCCATGGTCCCTCTGTAGGTGCAGGCGTCCTGTGGCTAGCCACAGTGACAGGCAAATCCGAAACCAGATGCCGCCAACCAAGCGTGTGTAGCTGTGTTGCTTGGTTTTGTAAATATTTTGCTGCACCTTTGCTTGTGTTTGAACGTTTCGCCAGTGCTAAAGGAATGTTTCCCGTCCGTGAATTTGATATCATTGTACAGATAAGCAAGGAGCGGTGACTTTACTTGGTTCGAGTCATAACCCCTGGGTCACAATGTTATCCAACGGACATCTGAGGCTTTTTATAGGCAGAACACTGGCCAGCCGAAAACCCATCTCATCCTTGAACACTCTCGCCGGATTATTTGCTATGGCGGGTAAACCCGAACCACTCAGCTGACATCACGGGACGTTCGGCTGATGAACCGGACGTGTTCGTCGTCCTTTGGACGCCAGCCCTACAGTTGCGAGATACCAACCGACGCCAAGTTCGAAGGGTATAAAAATATCAAAAAGCCAACCGGTAACCGGACAATGGCGAACTATACCAACGCCCCAACAGAAGAAGAACCCTTAGGTGCCGCAGATAAATGTGCAGTAGGAATAGATACGGAAGCTGTGCATTCTACAGCCTTCAGGAGAGTTTTCGAAAATGAGTGTAACGATTGGTGGTCGGAGCTGATGCATGCAGTTGATGATATTTGACATAATAAATAACTCCGTTCGTACCTTGGGTGCTTGCAATACTGCAGTGACTTGCTGAGCTTCTTGGGGATGGAATTTGTGAATACCTGACTGGTTTCCGCTTTGGTAGCGATTTGCTTGCCGCATCTCTTCACATAGCCATACGTAAGCATAAAACATACAGGTAACTCACCATGACCGTCCGCCATCATTTGAAGATCACTTGGCAGCGGGAAATGAACTCCTTGACTACAGAGCTGCGCGTCGTTGGTCCATCTCCCTCTGCAGTCTGGAGCCCATACGGCTCACTTGGTGCTTGATTCGAGACCTTATACGACATCGTTCGCAATCGGCAACAGTGACCCGTCTAGTGTCATCTCGCAGTCGACTTTCTTGATTAAATTGTTTCTGATGCTGAGTTTTCTGCTGGGTAATGGTTGATAATGACGCGTTACAGTGAAAGTCCCAAGAAAGCTGTCTCGCCGTTGCCATCTTACTTTAGCACCATGCTAGTTGTCTGTGACCGTATGTCGTTCATAAGGTGTAAACGCCTTGACCCTGAATGTCTGCGTATGGATTTTGTGTTTCACAGTAAATCCCTGTCTATGTGTCTTAGGACATTAAGGTTGTACGGCATCGAAGCATCCGCTGGAATGGTTGATAGGCTGCTGTTGGGGATTATGATTTCGTCATAGTGGCTTGTCATATGCTTATCTTTAAAGTGCACGCCGGAGTAACTTTCTCCTTTCTCCATCTTTTTCTACCGTGGTTACTGTCACTAACTCCTTAACTTTTCGCTTAAATGTTTGGTTACAGGCCCTGCTAAGGGGCTAATTATCCCGGTTGCTGTACGCCAGGGTCGGATCCAGAGCTACGTAAGTGCTTCTGCATACTGGGATCCAAAGCAAGCTCCATCTGAAGGCCACTTGCGAAGCATTCGACTAGTTCATTTACATTGTTAATGACGTCATCTCTGACAGCCACGTCACCAATGAGATTGCTGCATATATCGTGTGGTTTACCACCGCTCCGATCGTTTGTGGAAATGACAGGCTCTCCGCTGTAGCATCGTTGTTGCTGTATGGGCGAGAAACACTGCCACTCCGCTTTGAACACACTAGATAACTGGGCCTTCTTGATCGCAAGTATTCTCATCTGATGGGAGCACCTGGTTGGCATTTCTGAAATCCACCCATTTGTACTTGAAAAGCAGTGGGGTATTCTATGCACATTCATTGCTTACACTGGCTAACCCATGTTCATTGTATGCTCGTTGACCTACCTTAACCCCCTCTAGCCAAATTTCTTTTTTACTGTGTTTAAAAATCAATTACTTCCGCTTTCAATACAATGCAGATGCTAAGTTAGATGGAGACAGTTTATTTAGTTGTAAAATATATTTTAATTGTAAATTTAGGTACGATGAAAAATCGTGGCATCCGGCACAGATAGACGAAATAGCTACTGAACAAATATTCCCGTCTGAGCCATGTGCTGCTTTTATTGGTGCGGCAATTGGTCAATTCCTCCTGTCAGTCATCCAAATTACAACAACTATTTCTTAACAATCAAGCAAGCTCAGATAAGGAGAAACTGTGTTACACCTGAAATTCCCTAGAGCATTTCTTCTTCTTGCTGAGGCACAAATGAGCTTTGCACTTTGCGCACTGATAACTTGGGCGTTTGCATCGTTGCCATGCACTACCTACCACTGGCCAGTGACCTACAGAATCCGACCGGACTTTCAAGGATGGAATAGTCCTAGCTGGTGTTTCGTTACTTTGAATCCCGTTTCTATTGAAGATAAACGCCATCACGTCTTCCTTCTCAACATTTCTTTGCCCTGCATTTCTTTGCCTCTGCAATTGGTAGTCTGAAAGCAAGCAAAGTATTTTTGTTTTGCAGTGGCACAGCCATTTAGTCACAATCACGTTGTTAGAGTAACCAGCTGTTGAATGATGCCATGTCGATAAAACGCAGATGACTTGTGGTAGTATTTTCCGGACCTGATATGGATCCGACACTAAACAATCAGTGCATCAACGTCGGCCATGAACTTATTCTACAGATTGGTGATGCTTGGACACTCCACAGATACTTCAATCTTCTGTCCCATCTTTGGGTATTACAAGCTGGTTGAGCACTGGAAGAAGTACAGATTGGCTAGCCGAAAAACCTCTACCTGGTGCCAGCTGGGTGGTTCGGGTTAATACTGGCCCAGCTAATAGTTCGGTGGCAGTGTTCCAGGACGTGGTGGGTTTTCGCCCTATAAAATACCACAAATGTCTGCTTAACAACACTGTGACGTGGCGAATATGACTCGCCACCAACTAAAATCACTGTCTTGCCATAGCGGAGGATCTTACACTTTTCGCACTTCAACTATTTCATC